TTTTTTTTTCTTTTGAGAGGTTTTTGCTATAGGGCACATGTGCTTGCTAGACAGAGAGAAACAGACAGAAAGGGACATATCACCCCCCGGGGGAATGGCCACGCCACACTCCTTTCTCCTCCATTATCCTCACGGGATCCTGGGCACGCACGCACAGGCGCCCTGCGTGAGTTCAAGCCACTGGGTCCGGAACTCGAACCACAGTGGACTACATGGGAGTCCAGCGATATAGCCATTATGCTAACTGCTGGTCCCAAGAAAAATTTCTTGAAGGAAATTCAAAATGCTATGCTAGTGATACATGAGCGATGAGAAAGTCAAAGAGCCTTCTGATATGGAGAGTTTCAGCGGTCAGAATTAGAAGATCAAACCAGCCACAACATGCTCTTAATCTATAGCCTAATCCAGAGAAAGGCCCTAACGATTCAGTTCTGTGAAGGCTGAGGGAGGTGAGGAAGCTGTGGCAGGAAAGTCTGACGCTTGCAGAGAATGGTCCATGAGATTTAGGAAAGAAGCCATCTTCATGATACGAAAGTGGAAGGTGAAGCAACAAGTGCTGGTGTAGGAGCTGCAGCAAACGATCCGGATGTGCCTAAGATCGTTGGCGGTGGCTACACCAAACAGCCAAGTTTCATCGATAAGACAACCTTCTACGGAAGGAATATGCCATGTAAGGCTTTCATAGGCAGAGAGGAGTAATTAATGCCTGACTTCAGATCCTCAAAGGATAGGTTGACTCTCTTGTTAAGGAGCTAATGCAACTTGTGGCTTTCATTTGAATCAAGGCTTCTTTACAATTCCCCGAATCCTACGGTACTTAAGCAATATGCTAAATCTACTCTGTGTATGTCTATGAATGGAACAACAAAGCATGGATCTCAGTATGTGCTGTTTATAACATGGCTTACTGAAAAATTTTAAAAATAATTATTATTTTTATTTAACTTTATTTAGTTATTTAAATTTGACCAGAGAGTGACGGGGCGGGGCGGGGAGGAGAGACACTGGGAAAGTGAGAAAGGAAGCTGCCAGATCTGGGACTCAAACCACCTTCAGCCATGTGGGAGTCCAGTGTCCTTAACCACCAACACCACCTGCTGGCTCTGGTTTACTGAATAAGCCCACTGTTGAGACCTACTACTCAGATGAAAAGATTCCTTTCAAAATATTTATGCTCATTTACAGTGCACCTGGCAGTCTAAGAGCTCTGATGGAGATGTACAAGCAGATTCATGGTTTTTGTTTGTTTTTGTTTATTTGTTTTGGGCTTGCTAACAGAATATTCATTTTGCAACCCATGAATCAAGAAAGCATTTCGACTTTCAAATCTTACTATTGAAGAAATACATTTTGTAAGGCTACAGCTAGCACAGATAGTGATAATTCTGGTGGATCTGAGAAAAAGCTACTGAAAACCTGGAAAGGATTCACTGTTCTAGATACCAGGAAGGACACTCACGATTCAGGGACAGGTGAAAATACCAGTATTAGCAGGGATTTGGAAGAAGTTGATTCCAACCCTTCTGGCTGAATTTGAGAGATTCAAGCCCGTAGCAGAGGAAGTAACTGCAGATGTGGGATGAATAGCGAGAGCACCAGAATTAGAAGTGGAGTTTGAAGATATGACGGAATTGCTTCAATCTAACGATAAAAGCTTAAGGGATGAGGAAGTGCTTCTCATGGAAGAGCAAAGACAGTGGTTTATTGAAATGGAATATACTCTTTGTGAAGATGCTGTAAACATTGTTGAAAGTGACAACAAAGGATTTAAAATATTACATAAACTTAGTTGATAAAGCAACTGAAAGATTTGAAAGGACTGATTCCAATTGGGAAAGAAGTTGTACTGTGGGTAAATGTTAGCAATCAGCGCCACCCGCCTCGGAGCACTCTTTCAGGAAAGCAAGAGTCCACGGATGTGGCAAATTTCGTGGTTGTTATTCATTTACTTAAATGGCCAGAGGCAGAGGGCACATGCATTCCCAGAGAGACAGACAGAGACACAGAGAGAGGGAGAAACTATCCCCCTGTCCCCCTGTGGGATGTGGTCATGCTGGAGTCCCTTCTCCATCATGTCGGGATTCTGGGCATGCACATATACTCAGAATGTTTTTGTTCTTTTTGTAATTTGCCAGAGGGCATGTGCACTCTCCAGACAGAGACAGAGGGAGAGAGGGAGAGGGAAAAAGCACTCCCCATGTGACTCAGTCATAAAGAAATCTCTTTCCTCCTTTCTCTATCCTGTCTGGATTTGGGGCATGCATGCACACATGCCTTGTGTATTTTTTTATGCCACTACAGCTGGGACTCAAACCACACAAGACAAGATCTTCCACCAGCAAAAGGAATACATTTTGCTGAAGGTTTAGGTAATAGCATTTTTTAGCAATAAAGAATTCTTAAACTAAGGCATGTACATTGTTTTATAGACATAATGCTACTGCACACATAATAGGCTATTCTATAGTAGAAACATAACCTGTACACACACCAGGAAACCGAAACATTTGTGTAACTTGCTTTGTCACAATATTTGCTTTATTTTGATGGTCTGGAACCCAAATCCCCAATATCTCCAAGGATGACACATATTCAGATTTTCTAACATTTTGGCACGTGAGCAAAGGAAACAAACATTCAGAAGTGACCTAAATCTTACCTATAGGAAACAAAGTCATAAAACATTCCTGAGCGTATGGTCAAACAACTTGAGTTCGTTTCAATAGGGGCATGGGTGGCCTTATGACCTTCAAGAACCCTAAGTCAAATGGTAGAGCATGGCACGTGCCCCTCTCCCCACAGTTCTCCGTCTGAAGTCAGTACTTTCTTCTTACAGCCTTGGCGGATCCATCCTCAGTCCATCCTGACCTGTAGGTAAACCATTAAAGATTGCGGTGCAGATCAGGTAAGTACTTACTGAAAAATGGATTTAAAAGCTATGGCTGAAGGGAGGCCATGGTGTCTGTGTGGTAGGGCCGAGAGCTTGCTCAAGTGATTCGAAGGACTTCCTTGGCAGGAAGGACTTCTTTCCTTCCTGGTCCCCCAAGGAAATTAACAAACTTTTGAGCTATACTTTATATAAAGCCATTTGGAGTTGTACTGTAAATATGTGTGACAAAAATTGCCCTTTAGTCTCTTTAGAGAAAGAATGCATCATTATTATCATGCAGTTGCAATTTGCACTGCAGGTATTCAAGTCAGCTCTATGATATTCTATATTGCTGGGTCAATTTTCTTCCTTATACACACACATATAAACAGAGAAATTTTGTTTCAGTAAAAAGCTAATTCTGGGCCAGCTGGTGGCATTGGATTAAGGTGGTTGGATCCCATATGGCCTACTGCTTGATTTGAGTCCTGGACTTGACAGCTTGACAAACATGCTGGGCACATGTGTGTACATGCCCCAAATCCTGAGAGGATAATGGAAGCCCCACTGAGGGGTGATTTCTCATTTTTCCCTCTCTCTCTGACAAGTGCCCATGCCCTTTAGCAAAACTAAAAAAAAGGTTCCTGTACTTCAGGTATTCATCAGATGCTTTAGTCACAATCTTCTAGCCTAAACACTTTTTTTTTTTTTTTGGCATAAATACTGTACTGCATTTATTTAGCATATACCAAATCATTCCCTACCTTAACTGTAAATATTTTTCTTTAGAAGATCTTTTAAAAACTAACACATTTTGACCATTTATTTAGGCAATAGATAAAAATTTTATTTTTATTTTATTTTTTCTTTTTATTTTCTACATTCAATCACCAAATATCTTTAAGATATTGAAAATGAGTGTTTCCAGCAAGAAGACCCTGTATGTTAGTCCAGTCAAATAAATTACCATATGGATTGTCATCAACAGCTAATTTTCTTTTTTGGGGGGAGCACATTGAATAGTTTACTTTTTTCTTTTTTCCTCCTTGAGTCCCCCTCTCCCATTTCCCACACTCTCCTCCCATCTGTGCCTGGTATCATAGATAACCTTTCTCTTTTAAGTTTGTTTATTTTGTGAGTGAGACAGAGAGAGAGAACTAGACAAGAGATATAGCACCTCTGACAGAATCTTGTCAAGGCGTTCCACCCTCAGCCTCTGCCAGCCCTGAGCATGGGGCACTCGCATGCCTGGAATACCCAGGGAGGTCTCCATAGAGGCTGAGAGACAGAGGCCTGGCCTCAGGTCTTGATCGAGACAAATGGTGGATTCCTTTGGCCGCCTTAAGTTTTCTGAGTTAGGCAATTTCAAAGGGGCAACATCGTTCTAAGGAAGAGGCCAGCCATCAGCTGGTGAAACTATGTTAGTGCTTGTGCAAATTTTAAAGGCCAGGGTTGAGGCCTAGTTGAAAAAGGATCCTGGGGGATCTGGCTGGAGTTTGGTCAAGGATAGAATCTTTATCTGTAGTATTTTCAGATATGGTTGGTATTAATAAGCAATAATATTTTCAAAGTAATTGACAGGAATTCATGTTGCTCTTTTGAATGTAAAAAAGAAGACATTATTAATAGAAATTTCTAATTTGACTTTATGAATTAAAAACATAAGATATTTAGAGTTCGTTGAATAACTATCCAGCCAACTCTGTACAACATTCCAACAAACCTGTGTTGTAGTCATATTTTCTCTGTTTAAAAGGAAAGAATATTCGAATGTAATTGTAGTCATTTATGTAGGTGTATTATGAATGAAATAATTCAATACAGTACTGTGCTCTAAATAGGTTTTATATTGTACCATCAATTAAGATGCTCTTGCTCTTAAGAAATTTAAAATAATTATGCAAATTTGATTTTCAATATTCATCTCAAATATTTGATATCATCACTCTCAAACATGTTTAAAGCAGATTTAATTGCACAAGGTGCTGTGCTAAGTATAGCATCAAGATTATAGTGATCCTGCCTTTTTTTTAATCTAAAAGTGAATATTCTGACAGTCCCAGAAAGGAAGACACGCAGGCAGTCCTACACAATCCGGGAGAGGGCACCAAAAGTAGAACAGACCAGCCTTTGTTCAAAGGGTCATGGAGAAAAGATTCAAAGGGCCAGAGACAAGGACGAGACTGCCTGTGCAGTGTGTCCAGTGTAAGTAGGGACAGCTGTTCTTTGCCCCCATAATGCAGACAGAATGCCCATGAGCTGTTGGGTTATCAGAAAAGTCATGATGCATAGAAAAGCATAGAGAAACATGTCATGACTTTTCTGACGACCCAATATACTGCGAGCAGTCTGGGCCCTCTTCAGCTGACATGACAGTGGGCTCATGCAATATTAATTATCTGCAGCGAATAGATGTTGATGGCTAGGAGAACCAAGAGGCTGCTTGGGGACAAAATGGGTGGAAAGAGCATATGCTTTATAATCCTTAAACCTGGGCTGGAGTTTCTGCCCCAGCCCTTTTTGGCTGGGTGTGCCCTTGCACAGGTTTGTTGACTTTTCTGAGTCATAGTTTCCTCCTCTGGAAAGTGAGGCCTTTTGGCCAGAATCGTCATCTTCCAGTAATTCACCAAACGGCGAACACAAAGGGAAA